GTCTCGCACTTCTCAATGAAGGTCGCGCTCCTACTCCTTGTGGACCAGGGAGGTCTGGGAACGGCAAATCTGGAAGAGTTTCCAGACATTCTCTATGAGAGTGCCAGTGAGTTGAGACAACAAGATGGCGTTGTAAGAAGAGCTAGAGGAGGAGGAGGAGGAGGAGGAGGAGGTGAAGGGAAGAGGAGGAAGAGGAGGATACGAAAGAAAAGGGGCAGAAGGAAGTGGGAGAGGAAAGCACAACGTGCTATTGGCGATGGGACGACGAAGAGGAGGATAGAAAGACAACGAGGAGCAGGTTGAAAAAGAAAGGGGGGCGGCGAGGGAGGGAGGGAGGGAGGGAGGGAGGGAGGGAGGGAGGGAGGGAGGGAGGGAGGGAGCGAGGACGATCTGAAGGAGGGAAGGGGAAGGAGGAAGACTGGTGGTGGTGGAGGAGCAGGACGGATGATTGTGGGGAAGGCAATGGTACACGTCACTCTCAACTCACCGGAAAAATGTCGTCGGCTCAAACCCGCGATGCGCCATGATCTCTTGCAAGATGCCCCGCTCGTGCGTGTTCCATTGGAAGACCTGCTCCATGCTCGCATGAGAAAGCCGGGAAGGGAGGCATGGGGACGCTCGCTCCTCAGGAGGGAGGCGATTGAAGTTGGCAGTCTCTTGCTTGCACGACGTCCTCCAACAACAGTCCCTGGCATGGACGGGGAGTGAGTTCAAACAAGGAGAGGAGAGGATGGTTGAGGCAGAGGAGGGGTAGGAAACTGTCTCTCTAACAGAGAAACGAAGTCAATGCGGTCAGTTGTTAACCTTGCTGGATTTTGATGGACCTGGGAAATACCAAACTGTGGGTAAGGGCAAGTTCACGGCAAACAAAACAAGAAAGCAGGAGAAGAAAGCAGGAGTTGAAGACAGGAGACAACAAAAAGACGAGTAGGATAGATGAAGCAATCACGATAATAAACATGTCCACCACAGCCACCGACACAGGACGCACCGGCCGTTGCATCCAATGGAAGTATGCTCCGCAGAACGGGCGATCGCAGCCTTCGCACTTGAGAGGAGGCCGCTGCTCGTTCTATGCCATCATACCAAGGGTAACGCATGCTATCGATGTCACCTCATCAGCCTCAGGCCTGTCAGGCATTAACTCGTTGCACTGAGAGCATACGGAATGATTGTGCCGCCCTGGCAAGCAACGAAACGAGTCTGCATGCAGCAGCCCATCCGTCAGTACCCCATCCCATTACCGCGTCCCTCGTCCACCTGGAGCAGGATGGTTGCAGTTGTAGCAGAGCGGCTCCGTCGCAGGAGCAGCGTCATACTCGTCGACCAGCACGAGCGACTCGCTTCCCCTGGCGTACTTGGCTATCAGTTGCCGCGCCATCCTCTCACACTCCTGACATGAAAGAAGCCTCAGTACAAACAACGAGAGACGGGATGGACGCGAGAAGGAGGAGAGGGAAGGGGGGAGAAGGTGGGGGGGGGGAGGAGGGTAATGGCGGAGGACGAGGAGGTGGTAGTGGAGGAGGAGGAAAAGTAGCGGTTGACCTCCTCCTCCTCTCTCGCCCTCCTCAGGGACGGGTGCTTCTTCAAGAAAGCCTCGACCGACTCCCCGCACTGCCGGTCTCGAATGACACTCGTCACTCCCTGCCGGCACATCGGGCAACAGTAGCTTCCTTCTCCTGCCGCCTCCTGGTTCCTCCACACGCATGCGCCACAGAACTTGTGCATGCAGGGGAGGAAGGCGACGGGAAAGAAGAGTATCTCAGTGCAGATCACACATGTGAGCGACTGTCTCATGCTGTCTTCTTCGCGACCCTCCGGCTCCAATGCAGCCCCGAGATCTTGATAGTCGACCCTCTGCGTCTCCTCCCCATCCTCCTCCTCCTCCACTTCTATCACCTCGGGAACTTGCTTGAGCGAGGCCCGGAAAGTGCATGAAGGGTTGTGTGGATCTAGCTCAATCACTGAATCGCCATCTATCTTCATCCTCTCACTCTTCAGAGCCCTTCCGTTCACGATAGTTCCGTTGGTCGATGTATCCTCAATCCACAATACCCTCCCTCCCGCTCCACCTTCTCCTGCTTCACTCCGGCCACCATCTTCCGCCATTCTTGGTCTCTTCCTCCTCCTCGAGGAAGACTGCTCATCAGGAGCGGGATCCTCGCTGGCATCCTCTCCTCCCGGTCCTCTACTGGACAACACACAGTGATGCTTGCTGACGTGCCGATTCCCGGGGATGGCGATGTCGTTGGAAGAGATCCTCCCGATGGATACCTTCTCTTTCTTGATCTGGAACACCTTCCCATCATCGAATACAATATGTATCACCGACTCCTCCTGCTCAGACATCTAGGGAGCGGATTGGGTAGTGAAATAATCAACAACAAGGCTGGGACAAAACCACCACTGGAGCTCGTTTCCTCTGAGATCACAGCACCAGAACTTCTCCTGTTGCTCTACACCCTGCCCTCCCTTTCAACCTGTGCATGCGCTCAACCACGCCCTGTCGCCCTGCCATAGCTTGCACCAGCATAAGTTCCGTTCACCATTCCGACCAATACAAAGAATGTTACTAGCTGTGGTGCTCGGTGTAGCTATGTTGAAATTGAAATACTACCCATGTTTTATACCTGTAAAGTAGGGGTACTGGAGTCTCTGAGGCGGATCTGGTCGTTTCCTACCAGGGGGAACTTCTGAAACATAGGTGGGAAACCGGAAGTTTCGGAACCTCAAAGTTGCACAGCAAAGTTTAAACTTTCAAACTTTGGGAGCTATCGGGGATGGCCGGGAGGACGCATGTGGTGGTGGCAGTTGCCCCGAGGGAGGAGGAGGAGGAGAAGGAGGAGGAGGAGGAGGACAGAGCGGAAGATGGAGAAGCAAAGTTTGGCAGATCATGTAAGTAAAAATCAGCCAATGATGGTCTGATATGGACTCTTGTTTGCTGCTCTTGCTCTGAACATGAAAGCACAGCTCTTGTGGATAGGCTGTTTGCCCTGAAGCTTCCTGAGTTGGACTTGCAATGGAAAAGCTCAAAGAGAAGGTGGGGAATGCGAACCTGACAATGCTGCGGTCTTGCTCAAAGGTGGAAGGGCAGGTGTGAGGAGGAGGACGCAAACTTCACGGTCCTTGCCTCTGCTTCCATTCGGGTCCCAGAGTACACGGATGAGGTTGAGAGACAGATCATAGAGCATGTCTGCAGCTTGAAGGCCGAAGATGGTTGTGCGTTTTTCAATGAGGCGGAAGTTTGGTTGACAGCTCCTTGCGAAATCCCACTGAGAGACGGAAAAGTCGAGGTGAGATCAGATCAGCGTTGAGCTCTCCAAGTGATGAAGGCGCGAGTAGAATTTTGCAGCAACCAGAGAGACGCCTTCCGATGTGTGTCTGCAGCATCTGCACGATAACGGGATGTTGGTTCTCAAGGATGCCGTCCCTGCTGATCGGGTTGGAGACTTGAAGCGAATCGTTCTCAAGAGGATCGAGGTGCTCCGTGGGGATAGAGGATGCTGGGGCAGGGATTGATGAGCGCATAGGAGGCTGAAAGCAATCTCAGAAGGAACCATCCGTCGATCAGTATAGGACAAGATCTGTTCGCATTCAAGGAAATGTGAGGAAATTGGTTCCTCCTCGCCCCCGCCCCCCCACACACTCCGCCCATTCGAACTCGGTTTCGCAGGAGCTCGCGAGGAGCACAGAGGTTTGACCTTCTCCTTGAGCAAGGGGAGACCTTTGCACCTATCTTCGAGCTGTCCCGCTCTGGTGCAGCATGCGTGGAGCTTGAGGTGATGAACCTCTCATGTTGATCCGACAGGACCGTGGACGGAATTCATATCAAGCGCTATCGGCAAGGATTGGATTTGTGATGTGAGAACTGTGTACGCTTCGTTGACGACACGTCGACGAGCAAGTTTGAATGTTCAGGACAGATATCCGTGATCTACTCGAGGCCTGGGGCGGACGATCAGGTCAAACCAATGACTCCCTTCTCCCCACCGCTTCCTTATCTGCTCCTCGGTCTTTTCTATTGGGCACGCACACGCTCTTGAATGGTCTCACTGTTCGATGTAGGACTGGCATTCCGATGGGCCTCATCTTATTGTATCATCTCAGAAGAACCTTCCTAGCGTAAATCGGCGTTGCTATGCTCGACTTGCTCCGACGCTGAAGCGTTCCTCCCATTCAGTCCGCATCCTCCCCTTATGCTTTCTGCGTCTTCCTTGCTCTCATTGATCTTGACGAGCTCGTCGGATTCACTCAGGTCACCTTCATCGGGGCATACCCTATCTAATATAACATCCCATCCCAGTTCTGGCCCGGCTCGCATCGAGAGGCTGGCCTCGCTGGGTTCGGCTCAGCTGCTCCTGTGCTGGGCTGCGCAGGTGACTGATCGAACATCAATTGTGCATGCTGAAAACCTCTGCCAGTTGACGGAATCGTGGGGGCTGGCGGTGCAGTCGTCTACGACTACAGGCTTCTGTGACTGAACAAATACGGTCTCTATCATTGTCACTAATCGCTCTCGCAGGCACAGGGGGATGGCGAACAAGAGCCAAGGGACCCAGCGGGAGATACTGCAGTTCTTCTACCATGTTCCCGAGTACGTGGAAAGGAAGAACTACGGCTGTACAGCCTTGTTCTGAGCAACATCAAGATGGACGGGGATGGAGGGAATCCTGTCCCCTCTTGAAGCATCTAGTTGTGATATTTGCAGCATCGCAGAGGTGATGTGCTGCTGGAATCTTGTGCCGTCTGTATACTTGCGTCTGGAAGATTCCAATACACCCGTCCCTTCCTTCTTGCCCCCACCTTCAAGAATGGAACTGAGGATGTGTTCTCCCGCCCATGCCCTGGAACGGAATTGACCATGATTTCTCTTGATACATCACTCCTCTAATCTCATTCTATCCTCTTGATCAAAAAACAAAAACATCCTTATGTCTTTGTCACAAAAAGAGGCGACTCACTTATGTCTAGAACTGAAATCACTCTCAACATATGACATCATAGCCTGATGATTCGTCAAAATTGAAACTGAATGCAAGAACCATTTTCTTCAATGAAAACGATCTCACGAACAACCACCAATCACATACGCAAAAACAAATCTAACTACAAGTTACTCTCAGCACCATCACTGCACACAACAGTCTCCCTCCGAGAGTGAATATAATGCCCAACCAGATTTACTTCTGGGCATTCATCTGAGCCGCCTGTTCTCGCGCAAGTTTCTCGCCAGCCGCAAACCCCTTCTTGTAGCCAATGGAAGCCTGGAAGCCCCTGGTGTATCCCTTCGCATCTGCGTCCAAGTCAGGCAACATGCGCTTTCGACGATCAAAATACGAGACGACCAAACAACACCTCATCAGATAAACGAGTCGTTGCACATAGACACTGTTCCACGTGGATTGCAAACTAAACAAAGCAGGATATACATTTGCTATCCCTGCATGTCATCAAAGACTGGTTCAAATTGTACAACAACTATAAGAGGCTGTGCACTGTCAACACAAACTCTCCACCGACACAAAACAACCTCTACTCGATAGACCCTTGCAATTCATTGACGAATCAACCACAACCATGGATCTTCAGGACACAAAACCGCCTGCACTTACCACTTGCCTCTCTTCTCAACACAGCACAACAGCACAACAGCACAACAGCACACAAAAACAGCAGATCAAGGTCATTACACTTGTAACTGAGCAACAACACACATGTAACACAACAACAGTGCAAGATCATAACACAACAACAGCGGCAGAGCAACATCACAGCACATGTAAGCAGTAAGACGGCATGTGTTCTCGTCTCTTAGCACTCACATCCAGACTTGTAGTCGAGGTTGTGAAACAGCTTGCTGAGCATCCTTCGCGGCTCTTCGTGAGAAGGACCCTACCCTGAATGTCTACTTGTTGTGACTACCCCACCCTGAATTTTCCATTACATGACCCCCTCATTATAAAAAACTCTGAAGCTCTCACCACCCACCCGCGTTTGTTGGGTTGATTCTATTTTAGTTACCAAAGCGGATGAGTCCGCCCCAGCGCCATCCACCATGCATGATGCCTTTACTCAAAGTTAAGTTAAAAATCAGTACGAGGACAATCAGGACTCCGGGAGAGACCGTAACCACTGCCACCGACGAGGACTCAGGCTTGACCGGTCACCCTGACACTGTCGCACAGGCCAAACGGCGAGAAGAGAAAGACAGCGAGAACCAAACCCAATCCTGCCGACTGCTGTCCCCCAAACTTAACTGATACCTTCACTTAACTGCGCGCTGCCGGGACAATCCCCATGATGACTCTCACTGACTCCCGTCACCCGTCAGCCTGTACTTGGGCCCGGCGTATGTAGTCACGGTCACTGCCGCGCCGTCACGGCACTGGCCGGGCTCGCCGTCAAGTCAGTGACCTCCAAAGTAGCCGTGCTATGCGGCGGCCTGCCACACGGTGCGACCCGGCCGCCCGGCGTGGCGCAGTCTGACTGTCAGGGTGATCATGAGTCAAGCCTCCTCTACTCTCCCAGTGATTGTCCACGTACTGCTTGTTATGTTAACTTTGAGTAACTGGCACTTCCGAGCCTGAGTCATGGCCGCCACCGTGCCGCGGTGCACTCAGGCTGGCGGGGGCCAGGCTCAGTGGCCGCGCCGGCGGCGCGGGGCCGGGTGCTTCAAGGCTCAGCAAGTTTCGCCGGAACGTTGAGAACTGGGCCGCGGCCGGGCGGCGCCGGGCGCCGCGGCTGACTCAGTGAGCCGCCGCTGTTCGGCAAGTCGGTGACAACGGTTGAGAGCTTGCCGGGCCGCAAGAACGTGACGGCCGGGTGGCGGGGGCGCGGCGCGGCGCCGGCCCGGGCCGGCCCGGCCGCGGAGCCTAAGGCCCGCCGCATGATCGGACGCCGCCGGGCCCCTCAGACTCTGAGTCAGGGCCCCGCCGGGCGCCGCACTGCACGGTCACCGCCACCGGGCGGCCGCCCGGGCGGCCCTCACTCAGGCAGGCCGCCGATGATGGCGGCCGCTGATCGGTCACTCGGAGTCTTGCCCCTATGGCGGATCATCGGATTCAAACCTCCGGCTAGAAAGGGTTTAACTTGTATCTGCTGACTGCACCATGTGACTCTTGATGTACCCTACCCTTGAGCAATTTATCAGTGATATTTATAGGGGTGGGTCAAAGTTGCTGACAAGGCATAAACCGGATACAAGTTAAGCGTGATTACTACAGGAAGAGTAGAAGACAGTGAGGAGGAGGAGAGGCGAATGGGAAAGTCGAGAGGAAGGGGAAGAATATGGAGAAGGAATAGGAGAAAGCAAGGGGTCCACGAAACACAGGAGCAACACTGACTCATTGATGTAGCAGGAACACTGCTAGAAATCGAAAATCGTCGCAACTATCGCTCTGGGAGGTGCACAGAGGAGGAGCTACTCGTTGATCCAGACTTTGTGCCACTGCATCGATTGATAGAGGTCGACCTTGTAATGTCCTCGAGTGCGATGTATGAGGATGACAAGTATACAGGGAGGGAGGTGTGAAACTGCATTATTCAGCACTTTTAGTGCACTATGTACACGAGCATCCAAGTGTTCCCAAGGAAAAAGTCTGGGCAGGACGAGAAGAACAAGCCCTTCTACATCTCAACACTGGATCTTACAAGGATGTTCCACATGACGCTTCACAATGCAGCCGAGCATCTGGTGAGTAAGAGGAGGAGACAGGGACAACCATTGCATTCCTTTTGATGGGGCCTTGTCGTAACGATCATTCAGGGAATCTCACTCACGGCCATGAAGAACACCTGCAAAAAACTGGGAGTGAAGTGGCCAAACAAGCGGGAGCGTTCCCGAATCCAAGAGGAAAGAAACGAGGGCCTTGAGGGCATATTTGCTGGCTCGTCTAGAGGGATTGGCGCTGCCAGGAGCGAAGAAGGTATGGGCGCTGGAGGAAACCAGGATCTTGCGAATGAGCATCAAAGGACTGGACGAACACTGTTATCAGCGGCGTCAAACGACATGGATGGGATGGGCATGATGGTTGGGCCATTGCCTGCTCATGGACACGCACAGGTTGCGAGGTCCAGCGGAGAGCGTCTGCATCATGGTGCAGCTCCGGGCCTCCGGATGACGGCCGGGCCAGCAGATGAAGCGGCAGGCCCTCAACATCTCACGGACGTTCATGAGAGTGAGGACTCGTGGTCCTGGAACTCCGAGCCGGAGGCTGAGGAAGGCGACTCGCCAGACCCCACCAATGTTTTCTTAGTTCAAGGCGTCCCAAGTGAGAAGAAAGCGCACGAGCCTTGATCATCAACACAGTCGAGTCAGACCGTGACCGTGAGCAGCTGGCTCACTATCTTATGTGAAGCCGTTTCACAAGTTGGACGGTCAGGCAGTACCTTAAGCAATGACGGTGATTCATCGGCGGCTTCCGATCCAAGATCATCAGCCTGATCCCACTGTTACCATAGCCTACGGTATTCATGAGTAAACCGCTGCCAAGCCTGGCTGTGACCGTCGGCGGACGCCGCAACAGTTGATGAGATTTAGGACAACAGTGCAGCAGTGCCGCCGCACCATCCCGGCGAGCCTGAGGCTCCTGATCAGTGTATTGTCCTCATTGTCCTCGTACTGTTTTTTAACTTAACTTTGAGTAACTGAGGTTTCTCAACACGACCGTTGACATGTTCTACCGCCCGGTCGGGCTACTGGGGCTAGTAGCCGCGACACAGTCCTACTGCCTGTCCCGATTTGCGGCTTTTCCGGGTCAGGAAGCATCGCTGGTGCCGCTCCGAGGACAGCAGCCCTGCCAGAGTCCACACAGCTGATAGCAACGGGATATCCGAGCTCCTGCGCTGCTCTCCTTCCTCGAATCAAGACAAACAAGTCTGTCACGGAACTTGACTCCCCTGACTGATTGCTAAGTAGTGACTTCAGCATCACTGACAGTGACAGTGCAAGCAACCAAAACATTCTTTGACTCCGGTCCTCCACTGCCGCGATCAGCCTGGCAGGGCACTGGCAGCGCAGCATACTGCATCATGCCTCATCTTCACCTTGCTCAGCGTCTCTCGTCTCCAGCAACAACCTCTAGCAAAGGCGGAACATGGAGCTCCGACAAGGAAGGAGTAAAGGCACCAACTAGTCGCCCTGTCGAGCAAATGTTTGTTCGTGATGGCCTCGACGCGCTGTGACCCTCGATGCACATCAGCAGCTCCCCTTGCCGGATGCTTGTAGGGTACGCATCATGTGCTCCGATTTTCCCCTGACGAAGTCGGACATCTTACGCAACTTTATCCTTCCCGCTTCTGATGCGTTCAACGTGGCAAAGTGCTCATCGAAAAGCTGTCACAGCAAAGTCACTCAGCTCGCTCTTCTCCAACTCAGCAAGGCAGCTCACGATGTCTCGCTTGTGCTGCGTCAGCAGCGTCTCCCCCGCAATCTCTTCACCCAAGAAGATTCTCAGTTGCGCGTAAGTTCTCCTGCCGACATCAACTACGGTCAGCGGTCGGAATCATAATGCTCATCGTACTCGATCACTTTCACAGCAGCAACCACCTCCAGCCTCCGCTCACCTTTCCTGCGCATTTTTGTGTATCCTGTCCCATTCCTCGATGTCCAAGACTTCCACACTATGAGTGGAAGAGATGAGCTGCCCGTTCTTGTCGAAGTTCTTCTTGGTGCTCGTCCTCACCAGGCTCGACTCTTCCAATCTTCCGTCCGCTGACCTCCTACATATTCGCTGGTATCGGAGGAGTCTGGGTGACATTGAGCTGAAGATGTCGTCCAAGATCATGCACAGGAACTCGACATCTGACGAAGGAAGCTCGACCTCGCAGCGAGCGGCTCGCGTTAGTATCTCCTCCGGGTTGCGGTGAAGCAGCCGCCCAAGCCCACCTCCAACCTTGATGCCCTGCCTCATGAAGCCGTTGGACTTCCACTGAACCGTCCACGAGCTGGAAGCGAAATCGTCATGACACTGCGGAAAGGAGTCTCCGCCCATCTCAGACTCTTCCTGCCCTTCAAACTGCAGCGGCGATGGCGACGTTTGTGCTTCTGGAGACGGAGGCAGTTTCGACGTGATGCTAGCAAGAGCTTGCATCAATGTTTTGATTGCCGAAGACAAGTCCTCTCCCATCGTGTTGAACATGTACAACATCGATGTGTAGTCGTATCCCAGCTGCGAGATCTTCAGAATGAGTTGAGAGAAGACGACTTGACACTCTTCAGTATTGGGGAGCCGAGAAAAATCTGTTTCAAGCTCCATCTTGCGCTGCAAGGGCCATGGGCGACAAGGAGACAGAAGCAAAGACCTTGCACCTCCATTCTCCTCCTTGACCTCCACCTGCTTCTCCTCTGGTGCATCATCCTCGAGCTCATCGTTGGACTGCTCCATCTCTCCATCGAAGGTCGAGCACTCGTGGGGCCTGCCCCTCTTCACGCATGACCCGCACGGTCGCTGCTTGTCGCACTTGATCTTGGATCGCCTGCACTGCCAGCATGCTGAAGTCCCGGAGACGGCATCGCAGTCCTTTGCTACTCCCATCCTGTAGCAGGTGTTGCAGGGCCTCGTTTTGCTGCACTTGATCTTGTGCTTGCGACACCTGGCGCATGCTGCGCCCTCAAACTTACGGCTCTGAGACGCCATGGAATGCTGCAACAGCAACACGTCCTCGCCCTCATCCATGCTCTGTACGCCTGGACTCGAGGAACGTCCTGTAAGACCAGGATGTGAGAGGCTCTCAATCCTAAACGCGATACTGTACGTCGTTAGCTCTGATCTGTTATCTCTTTCTTCAAGTATCGGAAGATGCAAGGAACTAAGAACTTGTTCTGCCGCAAACCACCCGTGACCCATGAAGAAAACCTATGTTCTCTCCTTGTCCTATCGACTTGTGTCTACCCATCCTACCTAATTGTGATAAATTGTCACCAAGCTTGACCATGATACCTCGAAGAGCTTGCTCCACCTGTCCTCACCCCCATCTCATGTTGACTAGGCTTCTCATGCTGTCTTCTATCTACAAGATGGAAGAATGCTACCCCTTCAGGCATGAGCTGGTCGGCATCATGGCTCCTCTCTGCTCAACTTCCAACCTCTCCAGGTCGTCTCCTCCATCCGGTCTTGCTAGCTCCCTATCAACATTCTTGCACCCCATCCTTGCCATCTTCCTCTTCATCTGAGACCGCGCCAGTTGGCTAGTACCGACTTTTTTAGGGTATAAATAAACCGTTACAGATTTAGTTCCCAGGCGTTGTAACCGTTGGTCCAGCCCGGAGTGTCGGACTCGGGTCGGACCGTGACGAGAATAATCCGGGGCGGGCCCACGTCAGCACTGCAACCTTCTGTACCACTGGTGTAAACAAGGTACACTTTGATCTCAGGGTAAGGTACAATAAAATTTACTCAATAAGTTGAGTGATCTCAAAGGAACTGGTCGCTGGGAAGGCGTTGTTACCACCCCTGTCTACCACCTGCATTCCCTAGTTCTGAGGGTGGGTACCCCAACCGTTGTTTTCCGTAACTTGGATTTGGGAACTTTCACACGCCCGGTACCCCACCCCTATTTCGTAAAAATGGACTTTTGTGACCCTACCCTACTTATATGAGAACTCTACATAGTAAAGAGGGGGTACTTGAAAAATTTTATCTCCTGCCCCCCACCCCCACCCCCACCCCCACTCCCAGACCCTTCCCCTCCCCCCCATTGGGCCCCCCACTGGTCCCTCCTGCAATAGGTGTACCCCCACCCACCAATTTCCGTCTTACTACCCCTACATGAATTTCCGATGACCACCAAGGGGGTCGTTCATATCCATCTGACATGCCTACCCCACCCTCCCTTTCTCCCTTCACCACCCTACCTTCTCCCTGTCATCAGCCACCGCCTACCGCTTCCCCCCGTCCCTTCCACTCTCTGTCCGTCGCGGGATACCTGGTGACTGTCCCATCGCTGCCTGCCCTTCCTGTCTTGTCCTCCATCCTCCTGGTTTCTCTCTCCTTCTCCTTCTCTGCCTTCCTCTCCCTCCATCCTCCTGGTTCTCGTTCCTCCTCACTCTTCCCCCTCCCGCACCCCCCCCACCCATTCCCCTGATCCTCCTCCCCTTCCTTCGTGGCCCCTTCGCCTCCCTCCTCCTTTTCTCCGACCCGATCTTCTTGATCCTGGGCTATCCCTTCCTCCACAATTTAATTTTGAAAATCTCGTTACATCGTTACGTCGTTACATCATCTCCTCCCTCCCTCCCTCCCTCCCTTCCTTATACTGCCTTCTGCCTGTGACCATTTCTCAGTTTTCTTCGTTCTCAACACAATCACTCTGCTGCTTTCTTGGAGTTTCCTATTCTTCCTCCTTTCAACATCTGGTTTGACAGCCTCTTCTGTACATCGGTGGGTCCTTCCAGCCATGGAGACGGACTCAACCTGCGAACAGTCGCCGCAAGGGAAGCGGGTATCCAGACAAAGGTCCACCTCCCTGCACACGATAGAGGACAGCACGCTGGCGAGAGTCAAGGCCTGGCAACGAGCCAGGCGGGACAGCGAGGAGGGAACGACTTCAGCCTCGCTCATGCACACTGGCTCCTTCACACAGAAGAAGGATACTGGGTCCTTCGCGGAGAGGAGGGAGACTGGGTCCTTCACCAACAAAAGGGAGGCCCGGACTGGGAGGATGCTGAACATTGCCGACATTTACCTCTACACGGAGCTCAAGTCGTTGGACCCGAAGAATGCAGAGAGGTTTGTTAGAGAGGTCTTGGTGAACGACCTCCCTGCTGTGGGGGCTGAGGAGGGGCCCACAGAGGAGGAGGGGGCAAGAGCGGGGGTTGAGGAGGCAGAAGCAGGAGAGGCGGATTTCTCAGCAAGGAGCTCGGGCAGGGACTCCATGAAGTTGCTTCGAAGAAGCAGCTCGGAAGGACAGTTTGAAAGCGTCTCAGCTCAGCTAAAGTCCGGCCAAGCAGCAAGCGCGAACTCGGGCCTGATCTACACGTCAGAGGCCTACCTGGTGGAGAAGGAGATGGGGAGATCTGTCGTCAGAGACTTGCACTCAGATAGCACGAGGAGTCTCTAGATCCTCTCATGTGAGACGGCTCGCCTTGCTCTTCCTTGTGCTTCCACACTCTTCCTCCTAATACTTCTCCTCCCATTTTTCCTCCTCTGCTTCCTTCTCTGTCTCCTCCTACTACTCCTTCTCTTTTGTCTCCTCCTCTATCTCCTCCCCCTTGTCTTTCCTCCTTTCCTCTCCCTGCTGTGCTTCCCATAGGTGCTTGCCCTCACCTTCTCTATCCCCTCCTGCGTTCTCTCTACTTCACGTCATCCCCAGAGGCTGACTTTGTTGTGCAGTAACATCCACGGACAACTCGCGAAACTCCCGATGGTTGTCTTACAGACATGGATGAGTTGTAAAAGTATGCCCAAGTGCAGAGTGTTCACGTTCATGATGTTGTTGTATTGAATCAACGCAACTTACATTTGAGACTTCTCCGTTTCAAGGAAGTCGTCTGGAACCACCCAATACCTGTGCCAAGGGGCGTGAGTGAGGAGAGCCGGAGGAGGAAAGAGGAAGGGCAGGGCGAGAAAGGTGTCATCAGCGTTATGGGGGCAACACAGGACACCAAGGAAGGAGTCTGGACGGGAAAGAGAGCAGGAGGGAGTGATGGAGATGTAGAAGGGAAGGAGAACGGGACGGAGGATAAGGAGGACGGAGGAGGCGTACATGGAGTCCGTGAAAGTCTTGGCAACAGAAGGGCCTTTGATCCATCTTGCTACCAGCCCTCCAAGCAGACCAGTCCCTCTGCAGCAAGACAGTCACGAGCAGCAACCCTCCTCCTGCTCCTGCTTACAGTCCGACGCAGATGGTGATAGGAGCCATGTAGATCTGATCCGAGAACGGTCAGGAGACAGACTCGTCAGCGGACACTCGCCTGGTAAAGGGCCGTGTCCTTGTTCCCAACATGGTGCTGGAAGGTAAGATCCATTTCCAGCCTGTTGTTCAGAATGAGGGGAGAAAACAGGTGGGGTACCAGGTGGGATAGGTAGTGGGAACGAGAAGGGGCAAGAGGTGGGAAAGAAGGTGGGGTAGGAGGTAGGAACAAGAGGGGTCAAGCAGTGGGAAAAAAGGTGGGGTAGGAGGAGAGGAGGTGGGGAAGGAGGTGGGGAAGGAGGTGGAGTAAGGAGATTATCTGTTCACCAATATGGCAGCGTCTTAGTCTGCGTGCTTGCTGGATTAAAAAAGAGTCAAAACTCCTACGACGAGGAGACGAGCAGCGCAAGAACTTACAATACTGGATCCCCGACCAAGGGCCCTTGTACCTGTCCCATCACCTTCAGCCGCTCCTCCCTTATTATCTTCCAACAGCCTCACCTGCTGTCCAGACCCCAGACGGCAATAATTCCAGCGATCCATGCGATAAGACCTGTTCCACCATCCTCAGCCGCTGCTCCTGCTCCTGCTCCTGCTCCTGCTCCTGCTCCTGCTCCTGCTCCTGCTCCTGCTCCTGCTATCTTCCTTTTCCTCCTCACCTGGAAAGGCATGCAAGGATATGACCCCGACTGTATCCGTGATGCCAGTCTTCCTCTCCAGAATTCTCCTGTGGTCGAGATCAGAAGCTTGACAGAAGGAGGGAGTAGGCGAGAGCAGAGGAGAGGGGAGGTAAAAGCTTCACCTCAAGAAGTGATGGGACGTGCTGCATACGAAGCTGCGGCCGAAGATATCGAGTCAAGTAAGGAGACTATTAAGTCAGTCTCTCACCCTCCAATGACGCCAATGATGAGGGCGTGCTGAGGTTTTGCAAAAAGACTGACGACAGAGGAGATCGAGACACCTTGAACGAGCATCAGCATCGCAACTCCTCCAGCCTCTCCCGCACACCTCCTGCCAACGAAGATCGTTGCACGTCCGCCTGCCCAGTCAAGGCCGTGTCAAGCGAGCGAGGCTGATTGGAGGAAGAGACAGGAGGGGGAGAGTGGAGAGGAGGGTGGAGGAGGAGAGTGGAGGAAGAAAGTGGAGGAGGAGAGAGAGAAGAGACTAACAGGGTCAAGCTTCAGCTGTCTAGAGTACATGGACGAGAAGATCCTGCAGGAGGCTCGTCAAGGTCATGGGGAGAGCAGGAGCAGATCACATAGAAGCGACGCAGCTGCTGAACAGAGACAAGTACGTATTGACAACCACCGCCTGCTGGGCCGCTGTAGGAGGTGTCAAGTATACACTGACCAGGCAAGGGCAAGGCAAGGTAACCAGCTGGAGCGAAGTAGGCGTTGAAGGAGGGGAAAGTCATCCAGTTGAGAATCGTTCCAATTATCGCCATCACGTCAGCGTTGTACCTTGGAGCATTGTCCGGGTTCTCGGCACTTCCCTTGAGGGTGGCAAGGAGGGTACAGCCGATGCCGAAGCAAGCTCCGAAGAGGTGGATGACACAGGATCCTCCCAGGTTGTCGTATGCGCCCATGACGTACAGGTTCAGCCAGAAGTTGACGCCGTAGGCCGTCACGCAGATCATGCTCACCGCTGACAGCTGGGCAAGGGAGACTTTTCCTAGCAAGATGCCCATGGTGATCTGCACAGGAACAGTAGCAAACAGGCCTTCCATGATGGCCGGCGAAGTGATCGCCATGGTGTTGTCAAAGTCCGTCCTCCCTGTGACGTACAAGGCGTGCTTGGCATGGTGCGGGAGCTCGGTGATTTGCGATCGGTTCTGTGCAAACATGCGGAAGATGTAGCAGGTGCAGGCCTGTCGTTGCTGGATCTCCTGGAAGGTACCTTGAATCACCTCGGCCTTCAAGGCTTCGAGGCAGTTGGGATTCCCGCTACAAGTTGGAACATCGCAAGTCTTGGAGATCAACCAATCACAATGCATCCTGTCAATGAGCTGCATCCAGAAAAATCCCCACTGACTGGCGATAGAGGCAGCCAGGAGACCGAAAGCGATTGTGCTGAAGCCGAACTTACGCAGGAAGGAATACTGTCAAGAAAGCAATCATGTGCCGAAATATCGTCAATTCCGTGCACCCCACAATCGTCATCATCATCATCACCACCACCACCACCACCACCACCATCCTTATTGTCACCTGCATTCCAAATCCAAGGTAGACATAGGTAACGATCTCAATCTGAAACTTGTATCTGAACAGCAGCATCGTCAACCGAATCACCTCTCGTCCTCTCGCTCTCACTCTCTCTGTAGCGTCGGCTGACTCAACTGGGGCCCTAGAGTGCCATCCGGCCGGGGGCCCACAATGTCATATCCTGAGTCTAGCGTCAGAGGAGACCTTGGAGGGTCAGTACGAGGAGTTGAGTATACCCGGGGGGTAGCGCTTGAACGGAGTTACTGACTCAGGCTCCTGGAAGATCGGACCTCCAGGCTCGCCGAGACCTGAGGAGGATGAGAAGCACGATGAGCTGCAGCTTGAGGATACCCGGGGCTGGAAAGATGTCGGGTGGCTTGGGGAATGTCTCGTGCACGACGTAGAAGTAGTAAACTACGATAATGATGGCCTGAATGCACCGTGAGTGGGAGGAGGAGCAGGAGGAGGAGGAGGAGGAGGAGGAGGAGGAGGAGGACGAGGAGGACGAGGACGAGGACGAGGACGAGGACGAGGACGAGGACGAGGACGAGGACGAGGACCAGGACGAGGACGAGGACGAGGAGATTGCAGTCATGCAGAGCTTACCTGGGCTAATGCAATGGTGACGAGATGTGATGGTTGTAGCGCTAGATCAGACTGATATGACGTATCCTCCTGAAACAACAAACTCACTTGAGTACTACAAGGGCAGCTGTGCTCAGAGTGCTTCATAGGAGAGTGCACGACCTCATCGATCTTCTTCCTCTTCTGGAAGATCGCCTTGACCAGCTTCAACGGATTCAGATCCTTGAGCCCCATGACTTCGACTTCCGGCAAGTCGCGGGATGCAGAAAGCGGCTTCGGGGAGCTGGACCCTCCCTCCCTTGCTTCGTCTCAACTTGTCTTTCCTCTCTCTCTCTCTTTTCCTCTCTCCTCCTTTCAACCTGCTTCCCCTTGCTCTCTCCTCCTCCTCCTCCTCCTCCTGCTTAGCCCTCCCACGTTCCGCACGCCGCCATGCACCGAAAGGGCGCGTCTACTTTTCACTCAACTCCCGCAGTCCTGGTACAAAAGCATATTATGGACCCCCTTGGTAAAGAGAAAGTGTGAGGGGTGGGTACTGGTTTGACAGAGCTTTTCAAAAGGTTAGCCAAATAGAGTTGACTGAATAAAAGATAAATGTTCTACAAAAATCAGGTGCGCCTCGGTGTTTCAATAGACTTAAGTATAAAGGCAGATATTTGGAGTTCTGTTTCCATTAGTCTGAGGGTAGGCAGCAGCCGGAAGGCAGTGGAATGGCGACAGCTAGATGAACGGGCTAGCAGGCAGGGGAAGCAGGAAGAGGAGAGGAGAAGCGACGAGAAGAGAGGAAGAGAGAGAGAGGAGGAACGAGGAGACAGAAGAAGAGAGGAGAGGAGGGGGGGTAGCAAGGCCGAGGTCACCCAGTGAAGCTGAGGAGGTGCTGTCACCACCACTCTAGTTTGTCGTCGAGGCTGATGCTAGCAAGCTGATTTCGCCCCGAGCAAGCAGCGTCGTCGACATGATCTCACACTCCTGTGCTTCAGTGGTGAGAGCACGACGAACCTCCCTGCGGACCTGAGTGCTGCTGACAGGTGTTCACTGTCCTGTTCGTCCTTGCCGGGATTGTGCTTGCGGCCTGCCCGCTCGTCGTCTTCTTCCTGTACGATAACTTTAAGGACAGAGTGCCCACCCACACGATCGGCTGGCTGATTGCAACATGCTTCGTCGCAGTGACGCTCCCCATCTCCATATGGGAGATCATCATGCACCTGCGGTACATGCAGGTCCCCCTGCTCCAGGTCCCGGTCATTCGTATTCTTTGGATGGTGCCGATCTATACCGTCGACTCATGGCTGGCTCTGCGATTCTCCTGGACGGAACTCCGCACTCTCTCCCTGTACATCAACGTGGCCAGGGAGTGTTACGAGGCCTTCGTCGTCTACAACTTCCTCATCTTCCTGGCTCGATACGTCGCCATCGCTGGCAGCTCCACTCTGCAGAGAGAGGAGTCGTCCATGGGGAACGTGGCACGATCAAGCTCTGTGAACACTGAGACGTGCAGCGAAGAGGGGAGCAGGAAGGAGGAGCTGCGGAACATGGACGCGCAGCTGAAACGGATCCTTGCCCGCAAGCCTGCGGTGAGTTTGTGGCGAGATATTTGATGGAGCCTTGAGGATTCATCTTTCTTTGACAGGTTCCTCACATATTCCCGATGAGCTGCATGCTCGAACCATGGGACACGACTTCAACGGCTCACCATGAGTCTTGTCTGTTCCTCAGGTTTGACCGGAACATCGCTACCTCCCGCGATTGACCGCCCTGCAACAGTCGAGTCAAGAGCGGCGTCGTTCAGTACATCGTTGTCAAGCTCGCATGCGCGCTTGCGGCGTTCATCTTGAAACCTCTGAGCATGTGGGGAGAAGGGCGTCTACAACCATCTCAAGGGTGTGAACTTGATCTGGTGGCGGACAGCGGCTGACTCTTGCTCGCCCAACAGGTTCTTCTGGGCCGCCATGGTCACAAACTTTAGCCAGGCCTGGGCCCTCTACTGTCTGATCCTGTACAAACTTGGATGACTTTGGTAGCTCCTCTGATTCCTCGTTGTCAGCTTCTACAAGGGGCTCCGCCACGAGCTCGCCCCGATGAAGCCACTCGGGAAGTTCCTTGCCGTGAAGGCGATTGTGTTCTTCTCCTTCTGGCAGGTTTCACCTGCGAGATTCGTTGGTCCACCTTGACTCTCTCCCTCAGTCGCTCGCCATCGCCATCTTGGTTCAGCTCGACGTGATCGCTGAGATCCCTTCCATCTACCCAGAGACGTCCGAGCTGGCGGCGGCAACGCAAGACTTTCTCATCTGCATCGAGATGCTCATCTTTGCCATTGTGCATCATACCGTCTTCTCCTACAGAGAGTTCCTGCACGAAGACCCCCAGGTCTCAAACATCGAGCTCGATGTGGAGAACTCTGAGCCCGGCAGGAAGGACTTCAAGTCAAGGTCTTTCCTCCATCTTCCTCCTCCCCTTGTCTCAGCTTGACTGCCTGCCAGTTTGAAGGCCATGGTCGACCTTGACGACCTCTGGCAAGACACTCGAGGCACACTCGCTCCCATCCTCCCCAGGAGACCCTATCCTGTGCGCCTCCTGCAACGATCCCTCGACGCGCGTTCCTAACAGGACCTTACAGGTCTTCAAGGTCCCCCAAACGATACGCAGCAGCTACGGCAGGGACAGCAGGAGCACGGGCTCAAGCATGAGCTCAGGTGACTTGCTTGCTTCACGTCCACCAGCGTTGAGGTTTCTTCCGGCTAGAAGTACAAGAGCACGTGGAGGCAGGAGCCAAGAGCAGCAGCACCTTGAATGAGCCGCTGCTGGATGGATGTAAAGAAGCATGTGAATAACTCAGGGCGACGAAGGGCGGCCGATGTGACGTCGCCGCGACAGACCTGATTGTTGAGATAGTGTATACTGACTAGTTTCTCTCTTCCCACACGCGTTTGTTCCCGATGCTTGTTTCTGTACTTCAGATCCTCGAGCTATGATATTGTGATCCCTCCGAAGAGAAACCAGCGGCAGAGGCGATGTCACCGTACAGTGTGGATTGATTTTTAATGTACAAGGCCAATGCCAGTCGTCTCCTGTCTACAACTTCACCTCGAAGTCTTCGCTCTGAATCAACGGTTTGCTCCCATCCCTGCAGATGCAACCATGATGAGGAGACAACCAGAGGCCGCAGCAAGGCGCTACCTGCTCATGAAGTTCCCGGGTACCCACCCCTCCTTGAAGGGCCTCCCGTCGTTGGACAGCTTGTACACCAAGCACCACCCGTCCTCCGGTCGCAGGTGGAGCAGGACGAACTTCTCCCCCTGCAAGAGAGGGTTGAGACTCGAGCGACGACCTGGCACTCTGACCTCTTCCATGTCCAGCTCTTGTCGAGGGTCGGGGTCGAAGGGGAGGTCGGGGCTAGCTTTGTAGGGGTAGAGCGCTGTGATGTAGTCGGTAGACACCCTGAGGGTACAACAAGCATCGTCAGCGTGCAGAGAGCTGTTGTCAAACATCACTTCTTTCTTGATCCGCGAGGAGACATCAAGAAATCAGGAAACTTGTACATGTCCGTCTTCTCTTGCGGCTTTGCACTGAAGGATAAGGTCAGGGAGAGCAGCTGTGATGGTGCTGATGAATGATTCACTTGCTGCTCGACAGGAACTTCTGACACGGGAGATGCCCGTGCTGCAATGCCAAGTCCTCAGCAGTCTCTCCAAGTTTGTTGCGGAGCGCACAGTCAGCCCCGTTCTGCCGACAAGTCAAGACAAACTGTCCTTGCAACCAAGAACAATGTTTCGAGGCTGCTCACCCGCGTTAAGATGTGGCATACAAGCAGATGTCCATTCTTCGCAGCTTTGTGAAGAGCGGTATTCCCTTCATGGTCGGAAGCTGCAAGGAATGACCATGAGCTCACATCGCATTTCCTTCCTAGAAAGTTGACAACCGTTCACGTCGAACTCCCTCGTCGTGCTGAAGAGCCCGATGATCATATCGGCTTTCCCACCCTCAGCCATGGCACCTGGAGGAAGGAATTGAACGCTGTTATCGATCAACAGGAATGTCTGCGCACTGAGAAATCTCTGATTGTTTTCTTGCACCTTCATCACCTACAAGAAGATTTTCACTTTCACAGCAACGATTTCAATCATGGAAGCTCATGGGCGTGAGTTTGGATGCACATACAACAAACCATGTTCACCGATACGAATTCACAACTACTTCGACCAGAAATGCAGAGGGATAGACGACAGGATCAAGTCAACCTCCCCTCCCCTCCCCACCTCTCACAGACACGGGAAACTTGGTGTTCATGATCATGAGCTTACGCTGTAGCAGTCGCCTTCGAGCTCCTTCTTCCCCTGCGCTGACTTCTGTGCCAGGCATCCACATCCCATCCATCCTGGCCCCTCGTCCTCCCTCTCCTTGGACCCATTCCCTCCCATGCCTGCAGCGCTTCAAGTTCAGGCTCCACCCCACCCCCGACCACCCCCGCCAAGGCTTCTCGGTCCGAATTTGCTCCGTTTCGTACCCCTTGTTTTCCCACAATGGACCCACCGGCTGATCCGAGAACTACCACCCCCCCCCCCTACCGGCACTACTCCGATACGTCGAGGTCGAGGGGTTGCTACAGGTAACTGAATTCTTTGTACCTGGTCGCCTGCTGTTGTGGTACAAATATTTCAGTCAATCCGAGTACTTCCTCGCGCCCACAAAGTTCGTTACAGCGGCCGGGGCGGGCCCGGTGACCGGTATCCTGATATATCATATATGAGTCTCGTTCCTTACCGGGGCCCGGGCCCGGGCCCGGGCGGCCACAGCGACATGGTCCTGCAGGATGAGGGTTCAACGGTTGGTTCTCGCTGTCTTTTCTCTTCTCGCCGCGCGGCGGCCGTATGGCCCGGTGTGCGACAGTGTGTAACGTGATGGCTGAAATGGAATGATGAGAACACTTGAAACAACTCTTCCACCTATGGCTAGCAATGGATTCTACTCTCAACCGCCGCAGAGAACTACTAGTAGCTGAGCTGACAGGAGTCGGAGCAGGTGTGATGAAGGACTTGATCAAACGATGCTCATGACGACGTTCTTCAACAATTTCGACGAAGATTGCATGACCCTGCTGTCTTACTGGCTCAGCTCAAGAATGCGAGCGCGGCGCTACTAACCATGCTTCTCCGACGTCATGGCGATAAGAGCGGAGCTTCTCAATCCACAGCTAGGGAACCAGTGAGGAGCAGAAGAAGGTGCGTGAAAGTTGTGGGGGAGGGAGGGGGCAGGGAGGAGGAGGAGGAAGACAAAAAGGAGGAGAGGGAAAGGAAGTCAAGGGGGAGGACTCGAGGGAATGAAAGTCAAGGAGGAGGACAAGGAGGACAAGGAGGACAAGGGGGGCAGGCGGGCAACGAGAGGTGATGGAGATGTACCGTCCTGATTTCTCGCTGCAACCCGGCGTTGAGCACCTTGTACTTGTTCTTGAGGCTGAGCCCGACCTCCTCGCCAGCGTCACGAGTCTTGCTGTTGCGAATGATACAAGTCATGAGGGAGAGCTAGGAGGGGAGATGAAGAGAGGAGAGAGGAAACGAATGGAGGCAGATGAGGGACGGGGCAGAAGGAGGGGAAGGAAGGGAGGAGGAGGAGGAGGAGGAGGAGGAGGAGGAAGAGGGGGGGGGGGGATAGGGGCGGAGGAGAAGGGAGGACGAGGAGGAAGAGGAGAAGGGAGAACAAAGAAAGGAAAAGGACGAGGAGGAACGGAGGAGGAAGGATGCGAGTAAGGGAAAGTAGGATCGCGTTACCCCTTGTTGAACGCTGCTGCCAGCTCTGTTTGCAGGTCCACCTTCTTGGTGTCCTAAGACTCGTCATGCGCTTGTTAGAACAGCAGGCAAGGCGTCCCAACCTCCATGTCCTCCTTGAATCGCTCCCGCACGGCTGTAAGATCCTCAAGAACCTGAGAGGGGAGGAGGAAGGATGAGAAGAAGGGAGGAGGATGGTTGTGAAGGACCTTGGTCTGTCCTGTGAACGTCTCCTGCACGCAAATCCAGTCAGCATCGTCGAGTTGAGGCCGACTTCCCTCACATGCATCGCGTTGCGGATCCTCTTCTGCCGCTCTTGGAGGAACACGATCCTGACTCGGAATGTGAGGGGCGAGGAGGGGGAAGGAGAGAGGACTGAGAGGGGGGAAGGAGGGGATGGGAGTAGCAAGGAAAGAGCAAGAGGAGGAAGGACTATGGAGGAAAGTTGAGAGGACTATGGTGGGGAGGAAGGTGGAGGAGGATGAAGGAGAATCGAGAAGAGGATGGAGAGGAACGGACCTGTCCTGTGAGTCATGCAGAGCTTGATTCAAGTTCTCCTGGGTCATCTGCGAACCCGTCAGCCGTCAGTGTCTCAGCTCACATGGTTGACTCTGCCTTGTACTCGTCGATGACGCCCTTCAACCGGTTGATCTCCCTTTCCAAGTCCCCGTTGTCGAGCTGTCAATTCTGTATCGTGAGGAGGAGGACGAGGAGGAGGGAGGATAATGAGGAGGACGAGGAGGACGAGGAGAAAGAAAGGAAGAGGAGCCAGGATGATGATGATGATGATGATGATGATGATGATGATGATGATGATGATGATGATGATGATGATGATGATGATGATGATGATGATGATGAGGAGGAGGAGAAGGAGGAGGAGGAGGAGGAGGACGAGGTGGTGGTGGTGGTGGTCGTGGTGGTGGTGGTGGAGGAGGAGAGAACTCTGATACTCTCACCTTCTGATCGTTGAGCTCCTGGAAGAGCCTTCGGTTCTCCATCCTCACTTCGTCCAGCATCTGGAAGCAACAGGATGAATCTCTCCTCCCCTGCCCTCCTCCTCCTCCATCTTGTTACGTGTGACGTGTCGTCGTGATTCCTCCTCGTCTCGTCTGCCACCCTTCTCACCTGACGGCGCCGTCAGCATGGCGCGGCCGTGCGATCAAGAGTGCGAGTGCGGACATGCTCGATGTCGATTGTGAGGAGTTGGAATTTCCTCATGTAGTTGTTCTTCTCTTCATACACCTTTGGACAACGTCGGCGTCAGCGTTCCAGCTGTCAGGTGCCCTGACATGGCCTGACGTTTCTCAGCTCGTTTTCGATCTTCACGTACTGCTCCTCCAGCCTCCTTATGTTCACTTGGGCGTCCTGCACCAGTCACAGGCTGAGGGATCAGGAGCTGTCATCGATAGGATACCGCACTCTGCGAGCTGATCGCAACTTGTTCCACGTCTACCAAACACATGCTCTCATTCACCATCCCACGAGAGGAGAGCCAACCATCGCCTTGCGATCCCTCCCGCACGGGACCGGCTTGTATCTTGTCCTTTTCAAGAAACGACTTCTCGTACAGAGCTTGCAAGGCAGCATATCTCTGACGAAGAGCTTGAAGATCTACAGGTCCACCCATCAATCTTCACCCATCACGACTTGCTGTTGCTAAGGAACCTCTCTCCAGCTGATCGCAGCGCTCGGCACGTGACTCGCTCTCCCGCTGCAAGTCAAGGTTGGCTGCCTCCGCCCGATCCAGCTGATCCCTAGCTCGACCAGTCACACGTGCTGACGTGTCGGAGGTGAAGCAAGGGTCTACCTCAGCACCGACAAAGATTCAGCAGCAATGGGCGTCTCCTCCGTCTGTGACGAGCAGTCGACAGCGAGTCCTGACCACTGCAGCTCAGTCAGAGGCTAAGAGGAGGAGGAAGACGCGATGGGTCGACAGGCTTCAGTCTTCGCTCCATGGTCTCTCGGGCCGAGTCGAACTTGGCGATGAGATCTTCGAACCTGTTCGTGACATCTTCTCTCCTGGAGAGCTTGCAGACGAGGTTTGTCATGAGATGGCGATCAGGTCCAGGGCTGTACCTCAGTCTTGTTGTCGTTGTTTTCTTGTTGCAACTGGACGGACTGAGTGTGAGGAGACAGTCAAATGTGTTGGTTGAGTTTTCGACTTACGACTCGAAGTCTCAAGGCAGTTTCTTGTTGCTGCTCCTCAAATTCCTTGGTCCTCTTCCACAGCAGGTAGCGCTGGGGGAACGTCAGGCGGCGTCCGAGGGCGTTACGATAGAGAAAAAGATGGGGAGGAAGGAGATGAGAGAAGGTAAGAACGATGAAGAGCGGGTGAGTAAGATATCAAGAGGCTCGTTCCCGCTCCAAGGTGCTTACCAGAGCCAAGAGAGCAAACTTGTTGTACTTGACGATCTGCTTGAGTTGCCGATGCTGGTCGTCTGCACCAACAGGCTCACGATGCTGCGTCACGAGGGGACGAGGGAGGAAGGAAAGGAGGAAAGAGAGGGGAGGAGGGAGTGGGGTAGAGAGCATGCAGGAGGGAGAAGGGGAGAGGTAGACGAGGAGGGAGGAGGAGGGAGAGAGGGAGGAGGGAGGAGGAGGGAGGAGGAGGGAGAGAGGGAGGAGGGAGGAGGCACCTGCAGCCCTGAGCTGCTGCTGCAAGTCTCGCTTCTCCGTGAGGAGGTTGAGGATCTGAAGGAGAGGAGGAGGAGTCATCTCCTGTCTGCCCCATCATGGCGAGTGACTCACGTGCTGGGGCTTCGCGTCCTTGGCCCACATGGCTCCGTTGAACTGAAAGGTAACGTGTGCAACAGGAGCATCAGGACGGCGATCAAGCAGGGAAAGATGCAACTCTGTTTGCACTACCACATGTGAAAGAAGAGTACCTGAGTTGTTACTTCCCGCAGAACAAACTGGAAGGGCGAAGAAGACTTCAGCGTCAGGATGAGAGTCAGACTGCAAATCTCTTGCGAACCTCTAACGCTGCTTGCTTCTCAAGGTGGACTTCCTGCAGATAGGTGTCACTGTCAATTCTCAAAGGTATCAGAACACCACTCATCATCATCATCATCATCATCATCATCATCATCATCATCATCATCATCATCATCATCATCATCATCATCATCATCATCATCATCATCATCATCATCATCATCATCATCATCATCATCATCATCATCATCTACCTCTTTCGCCAGAGAGGACTCAAGCTCAGCTTGTTGTCTTCTACAAAGATCCTAAAACATTGCAATCGATAAGTCTCCAGCCAAACTTGACTTGCACAAAATACTCTCTGAGCTCTCAGTTCAGTGACAAGGTTGTACAACTCTGCCTTGCTCTCCCTTGGAAACAGGAGGCGTCAAAGAGAATTTGGGAAGTCGAGAAAAGCAGCAGGGAGAAACCATTTCAACCCGCAGGAACAAGTGAAGGAGAACAAGGCAGACCTGGTAGAGATCTCTAGATGCTTTTCAAGTCTCCTGCACCTGCTCTCTGAGTCTGCGAGCTTGCGAACAAGCTGATCGATGCAGAGCTGCTTTGCGTCTTCCCTCATCTCCTGCTCCGCCGGCTGAGGCAGCCAAGTCGTCAGAGGCAGCAGCCCCGTCCATGGCCGAGGGGAGTCGAGAAACAGCAAAGGGAGGGGGGGAGCAAGCAATGATGGAGGGAAGGGAGGTAGGAGGAGGAGGACGAGGACGAGGATGATGATGATGAGGAGGAGGAGGAGGAGGACGAGGATGATGATGATGAGGAGGAGGAGGAGGAGGGAGGAGAGGGAGGAGAGGGAGGAGAGGGAGGAGGAAATTCACCATTCGCTGGCCCCCTTCCTTGACCTGCTGTGATGCGGCATTTCCGGACTTCACCTCCTTCGTCTCCTTTCTAGTCTCTCCTCGAGCAAATCCATTCGCAGTCTCCATGTTGTACCTTTCCAGCTCTTGCGCCTTGGCCTGTTTGCAAGGAAATCAACACAGATATGTAGTGAGGTCAAGGAGGAGACAATCTCTGCTTCAAGGTCTTCGTTGATGACTTCCGTTCTTGTCAAATTGTGTGTCTCCCTGTAATCTTGTGCAATGGCGATCGTGTCACTCACCTGACGTGTCCTGTCAAGAACATGCCCAAGAGCGACAACACGCGAACAACACAACGACTTGTCTCCTTCTCCTCCCGGCATCACATTCCAACACAATATCAGATGGACCTGTTTCAGCGTGAGCAGCCTCTGAAGGCGCGAGATCTCTTGTTCGAAGATCGACTTCTGCTTCCCCCAGGCCTCTTGCTTCATGATCAGATCTCCCTTACACAGCTGAAGCTCGTTGTATGTTGTGCTCTACAAGTGAAAACAGCAATCAGAAACCAGCTCGATGTGTAGCGAGCGATGACAACCAAGTTCGACTCTAGCTTTGCTACAGACAGCTCCAGCGCCCCTCTGTCGTCCTTCGACACCTTCATGTCAGACTTCGTTCATGGCCTCCGCTACCTACCCGAAACACTTCCTCTGCTTCCTGGTACGCCTGAAGAAAACACGTCAGTTTCAAAACGCAGAACAATCAGGTTTGAATCTTGAAGCATGTGCATTACCCGGTCCTTCTCTGAAGACAATTTGATCTTCAGATCATCGATCATGTCTTTGTAACCATTCTTCTCCTGTCCAACAAGCTGAGTCCACATCTCGTCTGCTTCACTTGAAGTGCTCTACCCTCATTTCTGCGTCAAGGTTGGACTTGAGCTCTTCGTGCACCATCAGCAGACGATTCACCTGATGGTGAAATCAATCAAAATAACACTTTGATCATCATCGTCGTCATCGTCATCATCATCGTTGTCGTCATCGTTGTCGTCATCATCATCATCATCGTCATCGTCATCGTCATCGTCATCGTCATCGTCGTCGTCGTCGTCATCATCATCATCATCACACCATTTCTCATATCGTCACCACACCCCTTTCAATCGCTACCATCACGATCGGCGACGTCATTCACGCAGCGTGCAGCAGTACAACTACACATCACCTTCTCTTCGAGAGCCTGCTTGTAAGCTTTGATCTCATCGTTCTCCAACATCAAGAAATGTTTCTCCTCCCTCAATTTCGACATCTCCTTTTCCACCTCCCTCTCCTTCTCCTCTCTCCGGCCGTCCAATTGCATGCCATCGGTGATCAGAGGCGTTCGGGGAGAAGGGAGGATGTTCGACGAGAACTGTTCTATGATCTCATCGCGCCTCTCCACGTCCAGTCTTAGCTCAGCTATCGTTTTCTCAGCTTCCCCCATTTCTCCTTCAAGCTCTTCAACGCGGATGTTCGCCCTTGTAAGGGCTGTGAAGATCTCTGCCGCCTTCTCCTCCACCTCTCTCATCCTCCGCTGCGCCTTCTCCGTCTGCAGGAAGTGATTGTCCTGCTCGTCCGCGATCCTCCTCGAGCAGTCCAGCCGAACCTGGAGTCCTGTGGTCAGCAAGCACCCATCAGCCAACACAAGGACATGACACCTGCAGAGCAGCCTGCTCGTCTTGTAGCCTTCTCTTCTCTTCCACCAGCAGTTGGACCTGTTCCCGACACTCCTGCAGCTGCAGCTCCCTCTCCCCCATCCCCTTCTTGTTGGCTTCAAGGATGTACCTCATGGCCTGCAGCTCTCTGCTCATGTACTCCCTGTCTTGCTCCACGTCCAGCATCCTTTTCGTCGTGTTGACAACCTCCAGCTCCCTCGCGTTCACGGCGTCCTTTAGTCTCGCGACCTCTGCTATCGCCTCCTTCAGCCTCTCCTGCGCTAGCTCCTTCTGCCTCTGCTCGATTCTCTGCTTCTCCTCGACCTCTCTTCGCTTCCGATTCTCGATCTCCATGCTTACTTGCAGCTCTTCCATCGCTCTCTTCATCCTCACCAGCTCTTCTCTGCTTCGAACGACCTCTCTTCCCTCGAGCGCCATGGCAGCACGAAAGGTCTCCTTCTCTGCCTTCATTCTCGAGAGCTCTTCTCTATCATCCTCCATGGTCTCCCGTGCCTGCTGACGCTTGTCCTCCACAGGTTGTGCCTTCCTCATCATCGTCACTGCATCCCGATGGGCTCACAAAGTACAGCAGGGCTCCTCCAAGTATGACAGACGAGCGTTCCAGGCGTCATCTGCGCTCAGCAGCTCTTGAGCGCGGAGGCATCAACAGCAGGAGCTTGCCAAGCATCGCCCCGACATGTGACCCGGTCAAACTTTTGATGGGGAGGCTGGGGCAGGAGTCTGGGGCAGGCTCTGGGGCAGGCTCTGGGGCGAGCTCGCTCGGAACTCGATCCGACTCGGAGTCCGTCGGACCGACTGTCCAGCCGCTCGGACTCCGTCCGTCGGGCCGGCGGGCCCACTCGTGACTCGGAGGCCCTGAGGCGGGCGTCCGAGAGGTGACGGCCACTCCCGGTCCGTCGGGCCCCTCAGCGATCTCCAACCGTCGTGACCGATCGGACAGCCAGTGGTCAAGGAGGCCTTTACTCAAAGTTAACTAGTATGTGATGTTTAACTTAACTTTGAGTAAAAGTAACACCTACTGAAAGTACTCTCCTGATTGTCCTCGTACTGATTTTTAACTTAACTTTGAGTAAAGTTCCGGGAGTGACCCGGCCGGGTGCAGGCAAGTTCGAGTACTACCGGGTGGTGACCCCACGGTGGTCTCGACCAGGGTTTGACAGGGGACGGACGGGGCTCAAGAGTACCCCCACCTCTCTCTCAAAGTTAACTATTTCTCCGAGGTATCACTACGTAGTCACTGTCTCTTGCAGCCGCTACTCCACCCCACCCACCTCACTGGGGGTGACTGCTAGCCTGCTGTCAACGGTGATAGGGGGTAGTACCACACCGGGTCCAGGTGGGTACTTATGATGGCTCCCCCGATGCATGATTAACTTTGAGAGGGAGGTGGGGGTAGTATGAGATGTCTCTTGAGCCCCGTCCGTTCCCAGTCAAACCCTTGTCGAGAGCATGGTGGGGTACTTCAGTAGTGCTGTTCGTACTTGTGGTGGGGTGGTCCGCTCCAATATATATACACGGGGAGAGGAGCGGATCGGGAAGGGTGGCGAGCAAAGGAATCAGGATGGTATGCAAGGATCAGGGTAGAGCATGAGAGGCCCAGGCCAGATCCGATCGCATCAACGATGAAGACGGAGTAGACAAGGCTTGTGTTAGAGTCCAGAAGAGGCTGTTTGAAGACTCTCTTGAGTGAGGAGTGGAAGGTGACTTGAAGCTTTGCATAGTGACAGAGCAAATACTGATCATGCCGTGTTTTGTACCTTAAGCTCGGAATGACTCTTTGCCTTAGATGTTCGCTGACATTCGTGCCTTCTCCGATTTGCGTCAAGCTCAGGCCCTTCGCTTCTCCTCCTTGACAGAGACGATTCCAGACGTCTTGCTCACCTGCCATTCAAATGCTGAGACTGGTACGGTCACGTGCGAAGGAGGGTTCGTTGTGCCACCGCCTCCACAAACCGTCGCTCCTGAAAGCGAGCTGCACTCTGTCAGTTCTAGCTAAGATGAGTCTTGTATGGAACGAGGACATGCAGTGTCTCTCTCACAGATTGATTTCGAGTAAACGTCATTCTGTTTTAGGCTCTGGCGGCCTTGTCATCACTATTCACACTTGATATCACGAGAGATAAGCTCTTGTGTCTTATCTTCTCGCATCATCTCCTGGGGTTGTTTGCGAGTCGAGATCCTCTTGTTTCTCATCCGCATACTTGTTCATCCATTCTTCTTTTTTTTGGGGGGGGGGGGGGACTCCCACAACTACTCGAGATCTGCTTAACTTGACTTCGTCCCCCAAGCTAACAATGACTAGACTGAGCAGACTCGAAGCTGGTTGCAAGATCCAACCATCTGCTTCGAGTCTTTCATTTCAGTGCTGAAGACTTCCCCACATTGAGCTTTTCTTTTGCAGCGATATTTCTATCATGGTCGACTGGGAGAGGAGAAATGGGAAGACTCAGTCTTGTTGCATGAGATGAGATCGAGCTAGAAATGTAGGCAGAGAGAGAAAGTTCAGCTAGATGTATGACAGCAAAAAAATGTGGAAAGCAAGAGAAAATGAGCCGGAAGGGCAAGAACTGATATATCACGGTAGGCTCCTCCTGTCTCTGCTCGATTCTTGGACTTGCTTCTCCTCGACTCTACTTCCAAGTTTCAGCGGCCGGGCCTGGAGGCACCGTCCGGGAAAGGCGGGCCTCCGATCTCCTTTCAAGAGTCTTGTCTTCACCGCCCCAAGCTGTACAAGCTTGAATACCGTAGGGCTCCGATCGAATCGTCTTCGGCTGATGATGGAACGTATGCCAGCCGTGCCAGTCAGATAGCGCCGAGTTAACAAAAACTCTCCTGTAAACCAATACGACTTACGTGTTCGCGAGGCGGCCAATGTAGCGTGTGTGGACGAAGAGGGGGCTTTCCTAGCCGTCTTGCTAAGGTCCTCTCATGTCTGGATGCTTGGGTTTCACATCCTAGCATACAGTCTATCTCTCATGTGCTCCTCAATTCTGGTTTCGTGTGCATTAAACTCGGTCTTGAGCAAAACTGTCTTGTTACAACTAAGGTCGATGTGATATCTGCGTGACTTTGGACTAGTACAAGTCTAACAAACTTGTATTCCGTCAGCTGATCCTCGCTGAACGAATGGTCCCGGCCGCTCAACTCACTGAGTCATCGGAACACTCGGACCGTGGCCGGCACTCAGTGACTGCGGCAAGGCTGGCGATCGCCGGAGTCGCCGGAACAGCTGATGACGGGAATGAGGGGCATGAGGGGGATGAGGGGCATAAGGGGGAAGGATTTCTATGGCGGAGACGAAGAGGCGGAGAGAGGACGAGCTGGGAGCGAGGGAAGAGGAGGAGAGCGGCTCTGCTCAGAGAGGACACAGCAAGACTACAACCAAGAGGAAAAGCAAAGGCCAACAGTCTGCAGGAAAGCCCCCTGCTCTGGGCAACAGGATGGACTGGTACAACAAGGCACTGGAATGTATTCACGCGGCGGACACGGGGGAGCTCGAGGGGATATCCGCGAGGATCGAGGATCTTCAGCGAGCGCTGAAACTTAGGATGGAGAATCATAGCAGTCATCTGCTAGACCAGGATGAGATGCCCTTGGAGGATGTGATCGACATCGACGGCACCGACGAGGTCTCCCTCTTGTCCCAGAGCGGCAACGTCGAGACAGAGGGAGGAGACATAGCCATCACGCTGGTGGAGAGCAATCAGGAGCAGTTCTCCAACCCAGATTACAATCAAACGATAAGGAGCGTGACAGCGAGCTTTGAGATCGGATCAGGGAAGATGCCGTTCTCCATAGAGTTCAACGTCCTCTACTCGGAAGGGGTGGAAATCCCGTCGATCAACGCCTTGTTCTTCAATCTCAACACAGCAGAATTCGAGAGCATCTTCGGCCTACAGGATGGAGAGTGCTCGAAGCCGAGCGAGGAGCAGCTCGACGTTTTGTTCGCATCCTCCGGGATCGAACCTCTTCGCTCGCGTTCGAAGAGGGCGGGAGGAGTTGATGCCACGTCGCTGCCGGCCAAGATGTTCTTGTTTGCGGACATCTTCGATAAGCTCGTCAGCCTCGTCAGCACGGCCGAGGGCCCCATAGATGACGTGGGCATCTCTTTGGGGGTTGCGTCGGGCGACATCTACGAGTGGCTGGAGCTGGGGGGGCAGAGGTAGAAATCAAGGCCGCGCGAAGACGTCGGGCAAGCGTGGGAGGGGAGAAGCAGATGCGAGCCGATGTTTGTTGTAAGAATATACAGTTGTTATTCGCATGCGCATATCTTGCGTGCCTGTACAGCTCAATGTTCTTGTGGGACTAGTTGCATCGGCTGCCACAGCACGACGGTAACAGAATGGATAGCAAATTGCGCCATGGACAGGTGAGAGCTGACGCGAAGGGCAGAGTCCGGGCAGGTCTCGTTGCAGAGCTTCACGTGAGGTGAAGTTTGTATCGATGGCTCAGGACAATCTGCCACAGGCTGTAGGACGAGGCTGATACCATCACCTAGCAGCCAGTCACATGGATCTGATAGGGGAGGGGACGGGGGAGGGAGAGGGGGGGAGAGGGGGAGGGGAGGGGAAGAGTGAGAGAGGAAGGGGGAGGGGGGGCGAGGAAAAGGGGAGAGGAAAGATCGATCGACGCACATGCCATCCCGTGTGGTAACATCGCAGGTAGTCATGCTCGTCATCCAACCTAAGTGAAGTGCATCAGGGAGGGAGGGTAAGCCGAGGCCCGTCGGAGTTACCCGTTGACGAAGAAGACAAACTGCAGTCTTAGTCAGCATCCGCATCCCCCTACCTCCCTCCTCTCACCGCAACCCCCATCAGGCCCCATCCTAGGTAGAAGTTCCTGCTCGCCGCAGGTCACAACGCCACACACGCCCGCCCGCTCTCAACTCGCACCTCCAATCATAGTCTGGTTTCTTCCGTGCCAGGATGTACCTCAGGAATGGAAAGCATGCGGCGATTAGGATCGGCACCAGAGTGTTCTTGAGCTCCCAAGGACCGCTCTCCTGAGCATGCCATGACGACCAGGAGGAGGAGGAGGAGGAGGACTAAGAGGAGGAGGAGGACTAAGAGGAGGAGGATCAAGAGGAGGAGGAGGAGGAGGAGGAGGAGGAGGATCAAGAGGAGGAGGAGGATCAAGAGGAGGAGGAGGAGGAGGAGGATCAAGGGGAGGAGGAGGAGGAGGAGGATCAAGTGGAGGAGGAGGAGGAGGAGGATCAAGTGGAGGAGGAGGAGGAGGAGGAGGAGGAGGAGGAGGAGGAGGAGGAGGAGGAGGAGGAGGAGGAGGAGGAGGAGGAAGGGAACAGGTGCACAGCTCACTTGCAAAATCAGTGTGAGCCCCAGCATGAAGTACTTGAGGTACTCGCCGTGCCATTCCTCCCTGCCTGCCTGTCACTACGAGAAGCATGCACGCACAAGGCAGGAAACGGAAATCTCCGACCGGAAATCTGACAAGTAGACGAAGAGGTTGACGAAGCACATGATGGCCGCCACGTTGTCCAGCCGGTGCCACTGCCTGCAGGAGGGTCCATCACAAAGGTTGAGCTGCCATGGCACAAGGCACCCGTCGTTCATGTTAAGGACTCTGATACCCAGAGGTTCGCAGAAGTGATAGCTGCAAGGACGGTAAAAGGAGAGCAGGTGCAGGAGAGAAATTACAGGCTGGAAGAGATGAGGCCGAAGATCGCAAACATCTACCAGCACATAGCATGGAAGTGTCAGACGCATCCGCCTGCTCCCTCACTACACGGAATTCCATGGTACCGTCTCGAAGCGGAGGCCCTGCGAAACAGGATTGCTCAAGGGAGCTGAAGAGGAAGAAGACTGAGAGGATCTGGCGGGTACCTGACGATGCGCTATCCTGATGGCGGGAAGGACGAGAAAGTTGGACAAGGAGTTGAGAATGGCTGTGGTCCAAAGCTCCCACACCTTCCTCATGCCTTGAGCCCTATGCGGGGAGGAGCAGGAGGAGCAGGAGCAGGAGCAGGAGGAGGGGGAGGGGGAGGAGCAGGGGCAGGTGCAGGAGGAGCGGCAGGGGCAGGGGGAGGAGCGGAGCAGGAGCAGGGGGAAGAGGAGCGGCAGGTCATCTGTTACCTCGCATGCTCGTGCTCCTGACCCGCACTTGTGCCCCATGTCCTCCTGTCCTCCTCGCCTATCTCACCCTCGTTGCCATCCTCCTCCCCCCCGGAATCCCTCCCCCTTTTCCCCTTCGACTCCCTGACCCCCACCCCCTGTGATTTTTCTATTACGGCTCTAAGACCAAAAGGACATGCTAGGAGGATCGAGTTTGTGGGTGGGGCCGCATAGGGATTAGGGGAGAGCTGCTGAGGAGGTAGCAGCGGATCTTCCAGGCATCCCAGCTGACGATCCACCTGCAGCAGACCAAGTGAGGGACGTCCGACAGAGCGTCGCTCAAGGCTGTGGGCGATTCATGAGGTTGCAAGGCTGTTCTTGATCGACTTGCTGGTCTTACACGTCCAGCCCCCCCCCGCCCCCCCCTCCCTACGCGCTCTCGATCCTATCCTCAAGGAGCTGCATCATCGCTCGCTCTCGTTCCGGGCTCGTCCCCTTGTCATGCTCTTCAGGCCTCCTCGATCCCTCCAACAGCGCAGTGGACTCAAGCTCCCCCTGCACTACCTTGACGTACTCGCCAATGAGCTCCTCCACCTCCTTCTCCTTTCCCTCCAACACGGCAGCACAGCTTTCAATCTTCCTCATCGCCGATTCGCTTCCTGCCAGCACAGCTCAGCCCCAGTCACTTCAACCAGGTCGACCTACCGATCGGCAGGTCACACTTGCCCTTCTGCAGGAACCATCGCATAGTCGCCCGCCCGCAGACCAGCGCATCGCTCCATCTCTGCATGACGTTGTGGACATGGAGGAGGTCGTCTCCTCGCTCCTCCACCTCCAGGATCTCTCGGAATCTTTCAGGGAGCCTGAGGAACAACAGCTTCGCTATCTCATCCACCCCAGCCGCGTTCAAGTCTGCCTGCTGCAAGCAACATCGGTGCAAGCAGTCCAACACCTCCCACAAATGAACTTCCACGAGCCCGAAGGAGGCGGAGAGCTTGTTCGATTCGACGCACTCCAGCAGGAGGGACGAGAGGACGTATGAAACCATGCTCAAGGACAGTCGCCCGTCGGTGAGACGGAGCAGCGCCAATGCCAGCAAGCTTTGAGTAGCCCGCACGGACTCGTCATCGTTGCGCTCCTGCAACCCCGTCATAACAGACGACGCATTCCGTTTCAAACCTCATGTCTGCTGATGTATGTTCCCTTCCGATACACCTCCCACAAGATGCTCTGCACCTTGCCTTGAAGGAGACGTTCTCTCCCTCCGTCTGCCCTTGCCAGCCTGCTGATGCACCACAGCAGCACGAGATGCTCAGCGGGATCGAAGGAGGACTGCCATCCTTGGCATCTCCGCAGAATGAAGGAGATGGAGCAATCAAGTTTCCATGCGGCGTTTGATTCTGTCAGGGCAGGATCAGCACGTCTGTTGTCAGCTCGCACACAATCACCGCAGTGCAGTATGACGTCAGCTAGCAGCGAGCCCCAGATTTGTTTTTCTTCCCTCACAAAGCTGTCCAGGCTGTCTCGCATGATGACGTCAAAGTTTGCAGCGTGTGCCAGTCTCATCGCAGCCTTGTGATCTCCTCTCCTCATCAGAAGCCGCAGGGTGTTGCCCACAAATACCCTCGTTTGTACAGAGCACTCACCTTGGTATAATAGTCACTGCTGGAAGAATCGAGTTTCTTCCTATCACCATCACGACTTACCAGATGACGCAAAAAACATCTCGAAGGTGTTAGGAAGGTTTCTGACGACTGCAAGGAACGACTCATCACCTCGGACGGTCATGAATGCCAGAATCGCACTTGAAAGCTCCCTGCATTGCACCAACATGCTGTGATCTTTTGAAGCATTGCAACCCATACACTCTTGAACAGTGCAGTACAGCATTGCTTCCAGGATCAATTCGATGCGGCATCTGTTAGCTTTGAGGACCTCAAAAATTTCAGAGAGTCCATGAAAAAGTTGTTCATGGTTTCCGTACAATCTGATGCGATACAGGCGGTTGATATGGTCGATAGTTACAGTCATTTGCAACACAGCGGAGCTTTAACAGTTATGATTTTGGTTTTTCTTGCAAAGACTGCTAATGTGCATTACCGGTGTCTATCCGTTTCCTGCCCCGTTCCCCAAGAGCCTTTACAGCAAAAAAGTACGAAGATGGCACATTGAAGTTTGAGTGGAATTCTGTAAATCTTATGATGTGAAACTGCTATCATGTTCTGCATAACCCGTCAAGCAAGCTCTGCTTTCATGTCTTTGCAACTTTCCTTCTTCAACCTCATCCGCCTGCTCCTCTCCTCTCCCCTCCCCTCCCTCCCTCCCTCCATGTCCCATTTGACCGACCGACGAGCTACGGGGACTCTCCCAAAGTGCACATGCGGGGTAGGGTGATGGATCGGAGGTGGGTAGTGACTGTATTGTTGTGGGGTACTTACAGTTCGAAGAGGGGGTCACAACAGAGTTTGTGGGGTGGGGGTGGGCCAAACAACGGTAGGAGCGAGTTCCGACAGGAGTAGAAGAGAGATGGAGGGGAGGGCGAGGGGGAGAGGCTGTGTGAGGTGTTGGAGGTAGATGAAACGATCAGATGTGTTGGATCAACTTACATCGTTTTATTGTATCTTTTCTTTCAGCTGAGCAGACACGATTGCTGTGTCAGAAATTTAATTTAAAAGACAAGTGAAGGAGGGAGGCAGCTGAGACATCACATAGACAGGATGTGACGATTTGCTGATATCACAAGTACTCTCTACTTTTTCAAGCAACCAATAGACCTGATCTCGAAGGCCTCTTCTCCTGAGTGACTGCCAGGATATGCCGTGAAGAACCTGCTGCTCAAGCTGTGATAGGAGTTGAGCGGTGATGAGAAGAGGTTGTCACTTTTAGAGCCTTCCCATGTATGATCGTATCTCAACAGCGAGCTCTGCGAGCATTGATTCTGAAAACACGCCCAAGAGAAGGGATTTCTTCCCTCCAAGGAGCAGAGCGAGTATGTCCGCAGCCTCCTTGCTCAGTGTTGACCTGATGGATGGATCAACAGGAGATGGAAGCATCTCAAGGATCTTACCCTTTGCCAACCTCACCAGGGCAGATTTTGATACGCTCCCACATTTCAGCAAGTTTGCTGCTGGGAAGATACGGTGCATGACTGCAAAGCAACTTGGAACGGGTCGGTTTTGTACGGAGATGCTTCGTTGTCACCTGATTCTATTTCTCGACCGTTCTGCTGCAGTTCTAGAGAACAACGATCTGTCTACAGCCGAGAAATTGTCTTTTACAGTGAAGATTCATTTCGATCTCTGCGGACTAAAGCATTTCAACGACTTCCAGGTGATTTCCACTTCCCACCTCTTGGTCCACCTCAATTGAAGATCTAACAGGACCGCCTTGACCAAATAGCGGAGCAAGACTTCCTACAGCCATTGCTCGAACTCTGTCAGATCCAACATGCTGTATCTCCATGACTGCACGGATTCTACTTGCATTCACATGCTGCCAGTTGAGCTACGTCAGTGTGCGGCTACTCGGACTTTTCACCATGACCAGCAAATCGACCAAAGCGTTGATTGACTTGGTGAGCGCGTTACAAGTCAGATCATCATTGTACAGATTGACGCGCTCTTAGAGTGTGCTGGATATCATGACGACGTGTCTTCGGAGGCAGAATGAGTGGCTGTGCATCAGGTGAGTTGGTGCTGCATGAAATGACTGGGCTCTGGGCTCACAATCACAATGAGATTCATCGTGGAGATCATCTACACAATCTGTCAGAGTGACTTGATCAAGACAAGAGCAGCTCTTGAGCAAATTTCACGGTTAGACGCCTCAATTCTGTTGAGCTTCGCCAATCCATTCCAAGTTGAACTTGATGCTGCGACCGTGATACCATCTGACGACACCTTGCCAGGTTTCGGTTTGGATCAACAATAACAACAGGGATGAACCATTCTTGTCTAGAATACATATTCTGAGAATCTTAGAAACGATGCTGTTGACCAGAAAAGGTAACGGGGTCGTTGTGACATGTATGAGGTTACCACTGGTGCCTGAAGATTTTGCCATGTTAGGTAGGCAGGCGATGATGAAGGCCGGAGCCTTATTCTCCATCCTGGACCTTTTGAGTCAGGTCTGTTTCCCAACTCCTGCAATTGTTCTACTGGAGGAGCTCACACATGACATGCAGCACAAGAGAGGCATGCAGACGTTGACTGTGCAAGAGACTCTTCTTCTTCATAGGCTCAAGGTAAGAGAGTGAACGTCCTCCCTCCTCGTGACATCTCATGTGCGCCCAGAGCACAATGTTGTTTTGGGAAAGTCTGGTGCAGACAAGGCTTGCAGTGGAAACAAACTTCTTGGTGTAGGGTGTTTGCGATGTTGGGTTGCAACCGGGATGTTGGAGAACGGATGGTGCAATTCCGAGGCTATGTCCAATCACAGCGAAAAAAACGAAAACTTCATAATGTAAATCAAACAAGACGATGTAAATTAAATATTTTACGGGACAAGCATCACAAAACTACTCGTCATTCATGGTCGATGAGGCAAGAAGTCTAGAGAATGAGCGCCTCTCCGGTCGCGCTGATCAGATCTTTCTTCGAACTCTCGTCTCCGAGAAGGTACAGCGAGTGGATCAGAGCTTTCAACTGCTTCTCCCTCGGCGGACAACCGTAGATCATTTTCCTTTCCTCCTCGCACATCCAAAGTCCCTGGCTCGGGAGCACTTTGTGGCAAGAGTCATCCTCAGCAGAACAGTGCTTGTGTTTTCCGTTCGAGCCAGCGATGTTGGAGGAAGCAAACCAAGAGCCTGCCGTGAACTCAAGCTCGTCTTCATCCGAGGAGATGTTGTCGATGCCGAGCTGATCGTACGCATCCTGCGCCATCGTGGCCTTGAGCCTCCTCCTGCTCTTGGACCTCGAACAGCAACTGCGGTATCACTCGCTCGCCGCAAGTTCAGTGATATGCTCTTTGTTCCCCATTCCCCCCCCACCCCTTGTATGTCTATCTCACCCTGGACATCGTGAGGGGTATAAGAATTCCGAAACCCCATATAGCATAGTCAGTGTATCTTATATATTTGATCATAAACAAAAACGAGGATCCCTTTACCCTGCAGGTCTTCTGACCCACGGAAGGTCAGTGGAATCTACCACCCACCCTTCTCTGGCTGAACTTTATATGCAAAAACAATTTTTGAAAAGTAAATCATATTTAAAACACGGATATGCCCATGTGACCAACCAATCCTCAGGGATACCATAGAGATTCTCTTTTCAACTACCCTACCCCAAACTACAACCATCATATTCTTAATCACCCGTACAAGATAGTGTCAATTTACCCCACCCTACTGGGTGATTCCTGGAGAAATTCTTCCGCACCCCCTTGGTTGAATAACCTCTTGGGATAAGAGGTTTTCCTCCGGGGCTGAATCGCTTCATCCTCTGTATTTCTACCAAAACACGCCTTATCGTTTCAATTTTCTTCGCGTTCACCCTCTTCGCCCGTAACTTGAATGTAGAAATATTTTTAGCCAAGTAAATGTGTTTTAGAGTCCGACTTCTTGTTATAATATGTTGTAACTGTGATGTTATGTTTACCACTGTATCTGGATGTCCAGGTGTTGCACAGTCCATGTATTGTAAGTACCCCTATATGACTAGTGAAAAGACTACATAATCCCACTGGGGTCCTCACACAAAATTCAACGCACACACATACGTAAAGGGTAAACCTCTCGGCCTCTGAGTCCGTGTCCTCAGGGGTGGTGTCGCTGACTTGTTCCGAAATCCCATAGAGACACCGGGGTTCGACTCCGGCTTACACCCCAGATGAATTTTACAGCTCTCAGTCTAGATCCCGCCATAAGGCAGTCGGAACGTTCGCGCAACAAGGCGGGCGGAGTCTCTCCCCGGCTCCGGCGGGTTCCGACAGGCTCAGGCCCGGCCGGCCCCCGACTTTACTCAGCGCAAGTACCGGGGGGACTCCTCACTCCGGGCCGGTCACCTGTGAGTAGTAAAGTAACTTAACTTTGAGTAAACCTTAAAGTAAAGCAAGGTCTCGTGAGCCCTGAGCCTCGGTGACTCGCCCGGGGGCCTGGTGGTCCGGGAACCGGCCGGGCTCGTACCGCCGGTCCGATCCGGGCCCGGCCCGAACTGGGCCCAAGTGAAGAAAGTCCTCGTACTGATTTTTAACTTAACTTTGAGTAAAGGCTGGGAAGAAAGTTGTGCAGTATGAGGGTCAAGATGCGCCCTTGATGGTTCACACGGGGAGGAGAGGAGGGAGATGGAGGGATAGCGCGCAGAGACAGATGAGGATGGAGGAAAAGACAGCCCCTCTATGAAGTTCGATGAGTTCTCCTCTAAACAGCCCCATGGATGGGGGACATGAAGTGCACCAACGAAGGCAGCCAAGGAATCGTCTTGTACAGGTGGACAGGACGGGAGGGGAAGGCGATGCATTGATGTAAGAGAGGCAGGGTGATGCCTAGAACCACTCGTATCGAGATCATCTTGTTTGCAGCTCTCTGCTTCTTCCTACCATCGATCCCCTCCACAACAGTCCAAGGAGGCGATTTGGCGAGCAGGAAAGCATGCGTCAACAAGTTCCTGCCTTTGCTCCGACAACGAGTTCTGTACATACAGTATCAGAGGTTGATTCGGATCAGCGGAGGCTCTGACGACATGTCGGAGTTTGAGCAGCTCAGGTCAGCAGAGGACAAAATGGATGATGTCGAAAGCGTGGAGGAGAGCATGCCTCCACGAGAGAGCATCCCCTCCGAGCAGGAGACAACTCCCAGTGAGGACGAGCAGGAAGAGCAGAAGCCTCTTGAGGAGGAAGACATGGAATTGGATCATGATAGCCTGTCTGAGCATGAACAAGAGGACTCGGAAGTGGTCTTGAAGCGAAAGCTCGATGAGCTCGTCACGATGACAGACAAGGATATTTTCGACAAGTTTTACGATCGAAGGTGAGTTGCAGACGTGTCTTGATGCCAACACCATTGATCGGATGTCGCTGCGAGCAGCAAATCCCAGCAAGCTAAAAGACCCAATGAAAAGCAGAGGTGCAATGTTGGTTCTTGGTGTGGAAATGTTTGACGCAGCGAGCAGGAGCATGGCGGAAGCTAAGTTTCGAGCAGACGACTTCGACAACCATGTTCAAGTTGTTGACAACAAGATTGTCATTGGCCAGAGAAGAAAGGCTGTGAATCAGCGGGAAGAGAAGCAGGTGGTGTAGTGAAACATAACCCTGAGTTTCTTGCTCAACACACAATGCAGAGGCGCGAATTACGGCTCTTTGACATGTTGGTCCAAAATGCCACATGGGCAGAAGCAGCTACAAGAGCATACAGGTTCCATCATTATGAAGATTTCGACATCACAAAACCCGTACGCCTCTTACCAAGGGAGCTTTTCACTCTGTCTGACCCTCGTAAAGGTTTCCTTCAATGCCGATCAAGAGTTCATCAAGAACTGGGCAGGGGCTGTACGAGGGGCTGTAGCGCTGAGGAAAGGAATCTGCTTGCCGTCCTTTCCCGTTCCCAAGGTGAAACCTGCAGAGCTATCGCACATAGCGAGCATGACACTCGTTAGCAACCCATCAACGACGTGAGATACCCCGGTGGCTCCTGCATGCCGGATCCGGAGTGCCCTCCTATTACTCATCAAGTCGAGCTGTTTCCCATTTCTCGAATTCCCATGGATGAGCTTGTAGGCAGAGGTGAGGTTGCTCGTCGTTCCGTGGGGTACTGACGTCATGGTGATGGGGGCCAGTGGGCGGCAGCGTACCGAGCTCGAGGAGGAAGACCTGCCTGCCGTTCCCCCTCGACCATCCTGCCAACTCTTCGATCAGAGAGCGATACTACAAGCCGGTCAGGGCGACGAGAGACATGACAAGGGGGAAGAAGAAAGAGATGATGCAAGGAGCCACGTACACGCGGGAGTTCATCGAGGCCCAATATCGAAAGGCTGAACAGCGCCGAAGTAGAGACGAGGATTTTGAGCAGCACCTGAAAGTGATGTTCCCCTACCAGGTTATAACCCTCTCAATGACTCTGCCTCCCTTCACTTCCCTCGTCACTTGTTCTCTGTTCTTGTGTCTTGTGCCTTGTTGAGACCTCAAGGAACCCTTCTCGTCTCCTCCCATGGAGAGATATTTCAGTGTTGCACATGTTGATCACTCCGGCTATCACAGGACATCTTACCAGACGGGCTGTTGAATACATCATCATCTCGAACAGAGCAGTATTTCAAACTGCCCCACCACTGGTACCTCGGGTCGGAGAATCGGCGATTTGGGCTGCCCAAGGACAGAGGAGGAGGGATGGAGATGGAGGGGGCAGGAGAGGGGGGGCAGGAAATGCTCGGAGATCCAAAGCGAGGGTTTGGGTCAAGATGGGAGAGAATGGACCTCTTCGACCTCGAAACGCCTCCGCCGCAGACATTCGACCTCGACGGTGATGATGATGATAATGAGGAGGGAGGGGGGAGGAGGAGGAGGAGGAGGAGGAGGAAGAAGAAGAGGATGGCGAAGGAGGAGGGCTTCCAAAGCAACAATTAACTAGACGATGACGATGGCAGTGAGAGATTACCAACGGGTTTGCTGACAACGTATCTGTTTGCAGAGGATCGAGTTGTGCTTGAGGACGGCTCAATAGTCAACAAGCGCACGTGAAGTGAGTCTTTCGTCGTTAGTTGTCTCATCCTCCTGCAGGCGGCTCCGCCAACTTCTCAATGGGACCGTCGTGCCTCTTGACTCGAGCGACGACGTGAAGACCCCCGACGCACGCCCGACTGAACGGGGACAAGTCCTGTTGACGGAAGAGCAAGTGAGGGGAGGGGAGGAGGGGAGGGGAGAGGAGGGGAGGGTGAGGACGAGGAGGGAGGAGAGGGTTTAGGAGGGGAGGGGAGGAGGAGGAGGCATTCTGGTCATTGGCGTTGCAGATGTCAGATCGTTTCGTGTCGATCATGCAAGCGCACAAGGACAAGTTGTACTCTTTGCTCCGACCGCAAGACTACGGGAATGCGACCCAGGGCCAAGAGGTGGTGCAGGACGAAACATCGCCTGTGCCCAAGGACAATGCAGAGGGGGAGGAGGAGGAGGAGGACGCAGGTTTGTAGAGCATCTTGTTTGCACCTCTTCCCTCTGTTGTGCTTGTATTCCTGTCTTCCTGTGTGCTCTCAAATCACTCCTTTGAATTTGAAGCCTCCTGCTCCCTGAACCCACCTCCTCCTCCTTTGCTGCCTCCTCCCCTACTTCCTCGCCCTCACTGTCATCTCCAGCCTTTGTTCGTATTCCAGCTGGGAAGCACGTGGAGGACGAGCAGACCATAAAGCTCATGAAGATGATGTCAAGAGGAGCCAAGGAGGGAAAGGAGCTGAGAATTTCAGCTGGACTCCACAGGTCACTCTGACGCCCTTGGACAAACTTCCAGAGCTTTGACAAGTGTCGACGTAGGTGGCTTGACAAGCTTCGCTTCCAGCCCGGGACCACCCGGTGAGTCACCAAGCCTGCTCAGCTGGGCCCTTGCTCGAAGAAACCCGTGAAGACCTCCCTCCCTCCCCCTCCTCCTTCCCCCCCTCCCTCCCATCTCCTCCCCTCTCCTATCCCTTTCTCTTCCTCCCTCCCCTCCCTCCCTTCTAGTCTTCCTTATGTCACACCAGTGCCTCCTGCCTCTCCTTCACCTGAACTTTATTGTGCCGGGTAGATGGATGAACCCTACAAACGGACAGACTGAGACCATGGCGAATCAGCGATGGCTGCGAATACGCGGAGACGAGCGGGGAGACGTTGCAGTCACGGGGAAGCTTGGAGGGGCATGCTTGTGGGGACAGTGGAAGGTGATGGAGAAGAGGGAAGGAGGATGGAGGGTATTAGGAGCAGGAGCAGGAGCAGGAGCAGGAGCAGGAGCAGGAGCAGGAGCAGGAGCAGGAGCAGGAGCAGGAGCAGGAGCAGGAGCAGGAGCAGGAGCAGGAGCAGGAGCAGGAGGGTCAAACTAGGAGGATCGAGGCAGTGACATGCCGTGCTCCTGCAGGTGTACCATGGGACACGAGGGTGGCTGGAGCGAGTCAGTCTCATCCTCGATACAGACTGCTGCTACAGGCCAACCTTCCAGGTTCAGGGAGGGAACTGGTCAGTCACTGACTGCGAGGTTAGCCCATCCCCTCTTCATGCTCCAGCCTGCGTCTCAAGCTCCTCCTCCTCCTGCTCCTCCGCTTCTGCTCACCTCTTCGACCTCCTCCAGATTCTCATCCGCTCACCAATCAATTCCATCGTCTCCTCCCCTCCTTCCTTATTTCTACTCCCCCTCCCCCCCCCTCCCTTATCTTCCCTCCGTCCTGCCTACTTATGTCTTCTCCTCCCTTCTCTTCTAAGTCGGTTTTGCAGGTTCGAGCAATCCTCACAATCACCATGGTCGTCAGAGATTTTGCTGCTGTCAAGATGAAAGAGTGAGTCTTTTCTCCTCCTCCTCCTCCTCCTCCTTCTCCTCCTCCTTCTCCTCCTTCTCCTCCTTCTCCTCCTTCTCCTCCTTCTCCTCCTTCTCCTCCTCTCCCTTTTCTCCACCGCCCCCTTCCCCTCCCTCCCACCTCTTCCCCTCTCTTCCCTGCCTTCCTTCCCCCCGCTATCACTCTCACCGCCTCCTCCTGCTCTCCCTCCTCTTCCTCCTAACTCTGAGCCTCGACTGCAGTTGCGTCATCGGGGGTTGCGACTTCGGGTGGTTTGTCGCTACGGACGGGGTGGTGGTGAAGGACAGAGCTCGAGTGCGGATGAAGGGAGGGAGAGGAGAGTACGTGGCGGCGCTGGGATGTGTAGCCTCTTCCGACGGGATGAGCGAGGTCACAGTTGAGAAGATGCTAGTTCACAGGTGAGGAGGGGAGGAGCGGGAGGGAGTGGAGGTGGAGGGGGTGAAAGATGGTAGTGAGGTGAAGGGAGGTGTTGCTGGTTTTGGGTCAGAGGATGAAGATCGGAAGGAAGTAGAGGAGGGGGGAGCGAAAGAGGGACGAAGGAGGAGGAGGAGGAGGAGGAGAGCAGTTGGAGGGTAGGAAGAAAAACCAAGGGGACAGAAGGGCGAGGAGGAGCGGCAGAGGCCGAGGAGCTTTAGCAGCAGCAGCAGGGGGAGGTTGGATGGTAACGAGGACAAGGTAGACAGACAAGGATCCAGTAAGAGTGCATGAAAGACTTGATGCCTGGCCGAGGGGTCCTGCCTCCTCGGTTGTTGGGGGATCATGGCTCCGCCTCTGCTCATTTTAGCTGTCAGATGTTATTTCGGGGTGAAGGTGAACGGAGAGGGAATCGTCAAGGTGAAGGACGGGAGGTAGGAGGGAGACGCTGACAGGCCAACAGCTGAGGGACTCGATATTCCGGGACATCAAAATTGCTGCTCTCTTATCTGGGTATGAAGTTTTCCCTCCCCTTCCCCCTTACCTTCCTCCACATTTCTTCGTCCTCCTCTTGCTCATCATCATCTCAATCATCATCATCATCATCATCATCGTTATCATCATCATCATCATCATCGTTATCATCGTCATCATCATCATCATCATCATCATCATCATCATCATCATCATCATCGTCATCATCATCATCATCATCATCATCATCGTCATCATCATCATCATCATCATCATCATCATCTCATCATCATCATCACTCATCATCATCAGC